TATCAACGATGGCCATTGCATGCGCGTACCTGGGGGGCTTTGGTACGCGCATTGCTTCGTGACACCTGAAGAGGACTCACCATGTTTGATGCTGCGCTTTTCTGTGTTTACACGCTGGATAGACTGATCACACATTCGCGAAAAAGCACGTCTGGTTCTAAACCATGATTTCGAGTTGTTTTCAGTCTCGTTATCTCGTAATACCTTGACTCGTTATGTGTCCTAGGTAATTACCTACCTTAGTTCAAGAAAAATCAGCGGATATCTTCAAACCTGTAATTTTGCAACAGCTGGTCATGTTGTCCACGACCCATGCTACCAAGTCTTGAACTCAAACCATGTCTTCAAGCATTGCTTGAGATCGGGTTCATCATTCGAGGCACTCGCGCTTGTGTTATAAAGCTTCATGGTCAACTTCGTGATCAGTCAACCCCATGAGTACTCTTTCAAAGCTCCGGATAGAATGGCTCTAGGTGTAAATGGCCTTGGGAAGTGGAGGTGACTCAACTCTAGCAGAGCTCGCACGGTGTATTCCACGTGCTACCTACTGAGCCTGCTTGAACCGGGTTTCGAGCATAGAAGGAGAACCAGTCTCTTACAGTCTAGATTTGGCGACCATGTCCAAGGCTGGAATATCTGCATTTGTGTGACTTGCCCATGGGACCTTTCGAGGTATCTCATTCTCGGTAGGGCTTGGCTTAGCCGGCTTTTGTCAAGTTACATGTGGGTCCAGTTAAGTGATTGAGGTCACGATGCTGGCAGTATGAGGGCTCAGTCAATCAAAAGCCATCGTCTACAGATGTCAATGCCTTAGATGTAAAAAAATGCCGATTATCGGATGTAGATACAGACGCACTATCTGCAAGAGCATTGAGGGTGGTGAATTAGAGGGAATAACATGTGCAATAGTCCTGACCCCATGCCGTACGACCATTGAAGACATCGAAGATTCATTGAGCCTTCAATTTCAATATAGCATCAATAAGGCGTCGACTTTGATCTTCATAGGCATCCAAGACATGTAAATAATATCTTAACGATGATTGTCCATTGAATTCATACCCGTTCTCAATTTTTGTAACCATTCCTAAAGTCATGATCCATGAATCCAGGACGAGAACAAAGTAAGTAGCCATGCTCGGTCGACAACAAGAGCAGACTGAGCATATTCAATCAATCCTCTGCCAGAGTCCCGAGCGAGCAATCAACAGACATGTGACTTTACCAACGAGGCCATCTTGCCCCTCCCCATGACTCTGGAATGCGATAGGCCCAATTAATCCCCGTATCTTCCACTCTATATCTGCCGGCAGCTACCCTGCAGGATTTTGGAGGCGCATCATACCATAAGTCAAAGCACCCACTTATGGCCCCCCCCCCCCTTTTAGGCCCCCCCAAAATCCCGCCTAGCTACCATATTAAAATCTTACCCTTAATATATAAACTACTATAATAATTATAAAAATTATTTAAATGTATTTCTTTTTTATATAATTATTAATTAATATATAATAATCTCGTATATTAAAAATAAGCTCTAACGGGCTCTTAATATTATTAAAAACGGTCTTTTTATTAAAAGGGCCTTAATTAAATTTAAAGTTTTTAAAATAATACTTTAAAATTAAAAAAAAGGTTATTAAATAAGAATAAGGGTATTTATAAAGTTTTAAAAGCTTTTTTTATAATAAAAAAACTAGTTAATATTATAAGTTCGAATTTAATATTACCTAGGTATCGTACTAATTTATAAATAAGTTAAGGAATTTACTAAGTAAGTTCTAAGATCTTAAGGGGATAATAAACTACTTAATAAGAGATAAATCGACGCTTTTATTAAAAAAAATTTATTAATAAGGGTCTAAAAAAGTTATTTAATTAATTCGTAACGTATTAATAAAGCTACTATTAATATAATTAAATTATAATTTAAATTACTTAATATACTAAAAATTAGAAATATTTAATAAGTTAATAAGTATAATATAAATAAAACTAGTATTATAAAAAATAAGGGAGCTAATAATCTAATTTTAAGTATAATAAAGGTTATAATAATATAAAAAAAAAAGCTTAGTTTATATACCTAAGTATTAATTATTAAATATATTTTTATTAATAATAAAGCTATTAAATTACTAATTATATATAAAAAAAATTAGTTTAATAGTAATAATTTCTATTTAAATTTAATCTATATATTAATTAAGAGTTTATAATAATAAATAATAACTAAATAACTAATAATATTACTTTTTAATAATTAAAAATAGTATTCTTATTATAAACTAAGACCCCCCTTATTAAGGGGCTTAGTAAACTAAACTAGCCTCGATTATTAATATTAAATAAGTATAAGAGTTATATAATAATAAAATTTATATAAAAGTACTATAAAAATAATATTTACTTACTATTTTTATTACTATATACTTCTTATATCCTTTAATTATTAAATATAACTATTTTTAAACTTATTAAATCCTATTATAAAAAAGAGCTTAGTAAAGAAAATATAATAAATAATTTTATTATTATTAAAAAGTGATTAAATTATAGCTATTTAATATATCTAAACTATTTATTAACTTAATAATCCTACCTACCTAAATTATACTATTTAAAAAAAGTATAAATACTAAGTAAATAACTAAAAAAGCTAAAAAAGTACTTAACTAAGTATTAATAACGTTTATTATTAATTAATTAATTCTTAAAAAGGTTAATAAGCTTTATAATTACTTAAAGCTATTTATAAAGCTTAATTTAAATAATAATATTTAATAACTACTATTTAAAAAAATAAAAAAGGTTTTTAAAAAATAAGCTTATTACTTAACTATATTTCGGTATTAAATTTAAGTTTTAAAAATAAAAATAGAGTATATAAAGCTTAAAAAAAAAACTATTTTAATAAACCTAAATACTAAGTTTACTAATATTTAAAATATTTAAAAAGCTTAAAAAGACTTTAGTAACTATATAATTAATTCTAATCAATTCGTAGGGGTCGAATTACTTAAAAATAATAATAACTATATTATTATAATAATAGAAAATAATTAATTAATTAAGTATAATTAGTAGCGATGTTTTGATACTATGTTTGTTAGGGGGCCCAAAAGGGGGGGGGGGGGCCATAAGTAGGTGCTTTGACTTAATACATAAGAGAGACCTACTGCGCCTGTGGTTGGTCAATGTGCGTGGTGGTGTGCAGGTGATGGACCATGAGAAGTTGTTATATTGATGAATTGGCTTTCGCATGCAATGGGATTGTTGCCATAAGTGTAGCTCTTATACACCCGGGAGGCCTCAATATCGTCACAATTTGATGGGAGCTGAAGTTAAATGATATTGCATCCCTCTCTATTTCGATGAGAGATACATTTAGCTGTGAAGCGTCGGCTTCCAGTACGCTCCAGGACTCAGGAGGGTCAGTGCGATGCCACGCCAGCTCCCCTCTCGATCAATGAATCAGAGGACAACGCAGAGATGGAGCTCAGTTACGTGCTAGCCAGCCTCGTGGTCTGGGTAGATGGGGGCACGTTGGGCAGAGAAAGTTTGCGATATATCAAATCAAGGAAAACAAAAACAACACGAGGATAAACATCCACAGACTCACTCACATGTTTTGACACATCCTAGCCATTAAGACATGACGTCATGCTATTTCGTTCTTTTGTGTCTATGTATTCTGATGCATGGCTGTTGAAGCCACAATGTGGCTCGAGTCCTTCTAACCCTCGTTGGATTTCACGCTTCAACCACGTAGGCCTACAATCCTCAAATGGACTCTTATGGCCGGCAGTATCCGACTTCATCCTTCAATTTGACAACTTGTCCTCCTGTTCCGAACCCGGTACGAGTCCTGAAACCGCCCAAATGCATCACAATACCGGCCATTTCCAGTGTATTCATGCGGCCAAGCGGTTTGCTAGACGCCGGGCTCCACGCCAGTGGTAATGATGGAGCGACGCTCAGAACTCTCAATGCCCCTTCGCTGCCGGGCGCATGAATGATGCTCGTTTCTAACAGGGAACGCCTGTCCACCAAAACCGACTCCGTCGCCAACGCACACCACGTCGATTTCTCTCAACGACCAAAGCACCAGAGCCCAATATGGGTCCTTATTTTTTTCCATGCCCCCAATGGCCAAGTTGTCGTGGTACAACATCAGACGCAAGAACACGGAGACCCTTGGATGAAGCCCCCCGAAAACTCTCGCCCGAGGCAAGGAGGATGCTGTCGATATTTGACAGCTGTCACCAGGTTGCCCAGCGACAAGTCGAAAGTTGCCCACAAGACGAGTTGTCTAGTTCTGGTTCCCAATTCACTCTTCGATTGCGGTGCGATTTCGCGATGATCGGTTGCTGGGCTGCGGCCCCGTTGAGAAGTCTTGACTCGGCCATGGCACCCTCGCATCACCCCTAGTTGACATCGCCATCTGTACCATAGTATATCGATGTCATGCGTTGTGAGGCGGACGGGGTCCACCTCAGCAAGTCCAGGGACATCGGATGGGAGTCCGCCGCGATGTCTCACCAATCACGGAACGGAGGGACGCGGATGCACAGAGCATTTCCTCTCAATATCGGGTCGGGGGTTCGGCCGACTAAGGGGGTACAAGGCCAGGCCCTGGACGAATGCACTTGCATGATCGCTGGTAGGAACATCACACAGGGCCGGGTTTTCCTGCCTTGTCGCTTGGCTGGAACCGTATCGTCTGCTTGTTGTTCTTTGGTGGTCAAGTTGAGGGGTGGGTGATATATATCGTAAACTGGCTGGCCACCCCGCAAGAGCCGAGGATGTTTCGAACGTTCAGTTCAACGTCAGAGTAAAGTCAAATTCACAAAACCTCACGATACTTGCTTTCCCACGCAAGATTCCCGGGACTATCCAAATCCCACGAAACATCAATTAATCACAGCACCCTTACTCATCATCTTGTCACAGAGGGAACCGACTCTCTTTCGAACCCCCCCAATTCGATGACAGCCAAGATGGACGTTGCCACGCTCGTGGCGCAGATGAACGAGGCCCTCGCGTCGATTCACTCGACGATTGAGGGTCTTTCGACATCTGCAGCCGAGAGCGATACTAAGCTCGACGAGCTCGAGCAGAAGCGTGATATGACGCTCGCAGAGCTCAAAGCGGCCTACGAAAAAGAGCGAGAAGAGCTCGCGGCCGTACACCAGAAGGAGCTGGAAGACATCGCCGAGCAAAGGCGAAAAGAAGACGAAGAGCGGGAAGCCCGTCGCCGGCGAGAAGACGAGGAACTTGCGGCCCGCAAGGCCAAGGAGGACGAAGAGAAGCAAGGCACTTTTGATACCACTACCCGTAATATCGAAGACGAAATGGACGATCTCATGGACAGCATTGAAGAAGAGACGGCCAAGACGATATCAGAGGGCGAAGCAAAGTTGGCAGAACTCGAGGCGAAGAGAACGGTAAGCGGGGCGGATAAACATTCCGGAAATCTGGCAGCATCGTCTAACATTATTCATTTTCCAGGAACTCAACCGCATGATCGAGGAGCAGATGAAGGCCGCGGTGCCTCCCGTCCCGACGCGAAAACGTGCGAGAACAGGGCGACGATCCGGCGCCGTCCCTTCCGCGGAACCGTCTCCGTTACCTCCGCCCGAAACCCCAGCCGAACCGGTTGCAGGGGACAAGAGCGTAGACGAGGAGAAGCCCGCCGAGAATGGTGTCGCGCCCGAAGAGAAGGCCGAGGATACCGCTCCCGCGCCACCGGCCGATGCGCCGGGCGAGGAAGACAAGACCCCCGAAGGTGATAACTCCCAGCCACAACCCGAAGAACCTGTGGCTGAAAAGAGCTTGGAGGAGGCCACTAGCACCGAGGAGGCACAGCCTGCCGGGGAGGAGGCGGCATCGGCTCCCGAAGCTGAGGCTGAGGCCGAGAAGGCTCCCGAGGATGAGCCTGTCGCAGAGGCGGCCGCACCAGAAGAGGCTCCCGAGCCCGCCCCTACGGAAGATGACAAGGAGGAGCCCGCTGAGAGCGCAGTTGTCCCCGAAGACAGCCAAGAGAGCGCCCCGGCTGATAGCGAGGAAGCCCCTATAGAGCCTCCTGCTGAAGCCGAAGATGCCGCTGGCGACGACGAGAAGCATGATGCGATTGAAGTCAGGGGTCTGGCTGTAGAGACCCCGGAAACAGCGCCTGTCGAGGGGGCTTCTGCTGCCGAGGAGCCCGCTCCCAAAGAGCCCGCTACTGAAGAACCGGCAGCAGAGGAGCCTGCGGCAGCTGCAGAGCCTACGACGGCAGATCAAAGTGATGATACACCTCCACCAGAAGATCCTTTGGACGAGCCCTCCACCAGAGAAGTTCCAGCTGCTGGTGAAGAAGCCCCCACTGCTGATGAAGCCCCCTCTGCCGAGGACACTCCGGCCGCTGAAGAGCCAGCAACAGAGGAGCCGGCTGTGAAGGAAGACACCGTTGCGGATCAGGCGCCTGCTGTTGAAGAGACACCTGCTGTGGAAGAAGCCCCCGCTGCCGTGGATGCTCCCGCAGAAGACACTCCTGCCACAACAGAAGAGCCTGCCGAAGAGCCATCTACCAAAGAGCCGACCAAAGAGGACCCCGCAGTGGAAGAGACCCCCGTCGAAGACGCTCCGGCGGAGGATAAGGAAGCTCTCGAAGAGGCGGCTGCGGAGGAAGGCACTGTCGTAGATGAGGCTCCCGTCGCCGAAGAGTCAGCAGTAGAAGCTGCTTCGACTAAGGAGGCTCCGATAGATGGAGCCCCGACAGAAGCAACTCCGGCAGAAGAAACCCAGGCAGAGGAAGCCCCAGTAGAAGACGCTCCGACAGAGGAAGTACCGGCAGAAGAAGCTCTAGGGGAAGAGGCTGCAGCCACGAAGGCTCTGGCAGCTGAGGAGCCTCCTGCGGATGATCTACCTCTAGATGATGCACCAGCTCCCGAGGAGGCTTCGACAGAGGGAACCCCAGCTGCTGAAGCAGCCTCAGAGGAACCAGCTGCCGACGAGGAGGCCCCAGCCGTAGAGGCTTCAGCCGAGGAATCTGCAAAGGAAGATGTCGCCGCTGACGAGGCATCCCCCGAAGAGTCTCCCATTGAGGAAGTCTCCGATGAAGCCCAAGCAGCGCCGAACGCCCCGGAAGATGATGGCTCCAAGGTGTTGCCTCTCGCCGAGGATGTACCTACTGAAGAGGCAACCGCTGAAGAAGCTGCGCCAGGTGCCGAACCTGAGGACTCCGCCACGGCGGAGAAAGCCAAGGCATCCGAAGACAGTATCTCTGCGGAGGAACCTGCGGCAACTAAGGCCGATGTTCCGAGCCAAGACGATGCGCCCACCGAGCCCGTTGAATCCACGGAGGAAGCGAACAAGAGCCCTGAGGAGGAGACAACACCTGCTGAAGCTGCTTCTCACGAGTCAGCACCTGACGCAAGTGAAGATGCGGCTGACCCAGAAGAGGTCGTGGCAAAGGATGCCCCAGCCGACGAAACTGCACCGGAGTCGAGCCCAGAAAGTGTGGAAGATGATACCCCAAAGCAAGCAGACGGAGAGGCTGAAGATACTGGTGCCGACGAGGGACCTGGGGATAGGTCACTGCCCGAGTTCTCGATGAAGGCTGTCGAGGATGACTCGGTCGTGGAGGAAGCTCCGGTTGTAGACAGCAGCAATCCCGTCGAAGAGGAGGCTGCACCAGAGGCGGATCAGGCGGAGGAAGATGCGTCTCCGGAGATCGATTCTAAGGCTGTTGATGCAGAGCCAAGTCAAGAAGAGCCCACATCTCAGGAGAAGGATGCGCCGCCTCAAACTGAGAAGGCGGCTTCTAACGAAGACTCTGCTGCCGAGGAGCCAGCTCAAGAGAAAGCCATCTCACCAGAGGATGCTGACCCTGTGGAGGCTGCGACCACATCAGCAGAAGATGTAGCGGCCGAAACCGCAGATCCGATTGAGGAACTACTCAAGGATACCTCTGTGACCGAGGACGCGAAGGATCCGGAAACCCCTCTTGACGCAGCACCTGCAGAAGAAGAGAAAGAAGCCCATGCTCAGGATGCTACCATTGCTGCCATAGGCGAGACTTCCACCACTGAGAAGTCTGCCCTTGAGGGAGAGGCACCAGCGGCAGACGACGCTCCTAGCCACGACGAGATGCCTGGCTCAGAGGAGATTGAGTCAGGGCAGACACCGCCTATCGAGGAGACTTCTGCCGATGGGGCTTCGACTGAACCAGCCCCCATCGTAGAAGCGGATTCAGCAGAAGACAAGCCCGAGCCAGAAGCTGATGCACCTGCGCCAGAGCAGGTTGCCGACGAGGTGACGTCCAATACAGCGACTGTACAACCGGCTGTTGACGAGCAAGTTGCCGAAGAGGACCCTGTTGAGGCAGCTGCGGTGGATGACTCGGAGATCGCAAAGGATGCAGCTCCCACCGAGGCAGCGGATGAGCCTACTGATTCAGATCACGCCGTGCCCGAAGCAGCTGCCGCTGAAGATCAACCAACCGCCGAGTCTGAACAGCCTGCAGCTCAAGATACAACAGCTGGTCACGATGAAGCTTCAGTTGAGGAAGATGGGGAAACCGCTCGCGCCTCTCTGGAAGACGAACCTACCAAGGAGAATATCACAGACGAAGAGGAGGCACCTGATGAAGAGCCAAGCAGCGAAGCACCGGCCACTGGGGAGGTCGAGATCCAGGACGCCAACGAGGATCAAGCCCAAGAAGTAACTGCCCCAGTCACGGATGCCGATACAGTGGTAGCCAAGGAGATTGACGAACCTGCGGCATCCCCCGAGGAAGACCTTGCTACAGCTCAGCCCGACCCTGAAGAGATACAAGCCGAAGTCAGTGAAGCACCCCCGACAACCCACGAGGAGGAAGAGCCTGAGCCAACCACTGCCAGCAAAGATCTTGACGATGGAGATTCCGAACACCGGGACGCTCCAAATACGCCAGAAGAACAACTCGCTGGTGGTGTCGTTGACGCAGCTGAGAACGATTCCACTGCTGGACCTTCTGACGCCACCGCCGACGCCCCTGCCGACTCTGAGTTGACGGAGGCCGTTGCTGTCGACGTAGTTGAGGCGCAAGCTCCTGAGTCTGAAGGCCATGTTGAGAGTGAGAAGGTTGAGGTTGACTCGACTCCAGCTGAGCATGGTGCAGAGGGAGAGGCCCCTGCAGCTCCTGTAGATGAGTCTGTCGCCATCGAAGCAGATGAGTCTGTCGGCGATGCCCTTGCCGATACCGAGGAAACTCAGCCCTCTGCTGCCGACGCTGACAAGGCATGGTCCGAACACGCCGAGGCTAGTCTTTTATCGGCGAAGGAGGCAGCTCCTCTAGCAGATAGCCCCGAACCTATTGAAGAAGAGGCAACGTCGACGGCAGGCGACGAAGCACCCACTGCAGACATATCGGGTCAGCATGACTCTGTGGAAGAGACCCCAGCCGTTTCGGGCGATGTCAAGCAAGATGAGCAAGACAAGGATCTTGAGGACTCGCAAATCGTCGTTAGCCAGACAACCGCCGCCCCAGAGACAATTGCCCACGGAGATGAAGGCGATGTAGACGTTCAAGAGCGTAGCGTTTCTCTCGAGGAACCTAGATCAGCGCCGGCCGAGGTCCATGATGTCAGTCAATCCCAAGATCACCATGGGCAAGACGACGACGACGACGAACACGACGCGGCAATGATGGCTTCACCTGGTCATGAAGTTGACGTGGAAAACGATGCCATTCAGCATGACTCCGATCACGGCGAATTCGAAGTTGTCGAGGCGCCTCATGATGAGGCCGGTTCTGATGAGGCTGACCAGTCTCGTGGGCCCGACCTTTCCATGATCACTGAGCACACTGAGCCTGCTGCGTCCGCAGCCGGTGATAGCTCTGGTCTAGCTACGAAGACAGATGATGGCTTCCATCCTGAGTCTCTCAGCAGGAATGTCTCTGAAGCCCCGGACGCAGCTATTGAGAGTTCTCACATGACTGAGCCCACGGGCATGGCTACGGACGATAGCCACGTGCAGGATCAACAACAGGAGAGTTCCGCACCCAGTACTCGCTTCTTTGACGGTCACTTTGGCACCAGGCAAGTTCACTTTAATGAAGATGAAGAAGATAACGACGACTCTTCTCCAGTTCTCAGCGTCAGAGACGAGGATAGCGACGCCGATGAGCCTGCAGAGACATCTTACAACCCGTTCACCAGGGCCAGAGCCGGTTCCACAGCTCACGCGCAGCCGACGTTCCATTCGCAAGACATACCGTACAATCCTTTTGCATTGCAGACAGTCGTCGAGGAGGAGCCTCCCCGGGAGACGACTAACCCGTTCGCGAGGAGTCCGAGCAGAGGGCCTCAAGAGGACTTGACCAACCCATTCGCGCGCAACACCCCCGCCAGTGGTGCAGATTTCCTCCGATCCGCCAGCGCTTTAAGCAACCATCAGCCTTCTTCTCCCGAAGAGACATTCGCTCGGTCTCCTAGTGCTCAAGGACTCCGCCGTGATAGCGTGAGCTCCAATAACCCATTCGCTCGAAGCACGACTCCAGTCGATCGAAGCTTTTCACCAGCTCTGAGCACTCCTGGGCGACAACGCGCACCAAGCAACCCGTTCGCTCGGAGCACAACACCGCAGCAGAGCTACGCACTGGCAGAAGACAGCGACTCCGAGGATGAGGAGGCCATGATGGCGGCAGAGTCCACGTACAAAAACCTCTTCCCTGTCAATCAATCACCCGAGGCTGCCAATGATGGCTTCGCCTCCGCGGCCCAGTCGATCGAGCGCCGCCAGCCCACGCCGCAGGTACCGGAGTCGATGTACACCAATCCCTTCGCCCGAAATACTACATCTGATCAGAGCTTCCTGCCTACCGCGAGCGCTTTGGGACAAGCTCAGCCTGATACCCCGTACAACCCGTTCGGGGCCAGGAGTAGCACTGTCGGTGGTGACGTTGATGAGTCCATGTTCGACCAAGGCTATCCTTCCGCAGCTGGAGGGCAGGACTTTGTGGGTGAAGGTGTCATGGACCCTTCCCAGCAGTTTGTCCAAGAGAACAGTCCGTTATCGGCCAGGCACCTTGCTCCAGTCACTCTGGACAGCATCCAAGAGCGATACAATAGTGAACTCGAGGATATGGATTCCGACTCGGAGGAGCCAGAGAGTCTGACCACCTCCCAGCAGCTGCCAGCTTCGCAACACCGAGCTCCTCCTCCTCTGCCGAGCATCGCAGAGCGTTCCCGTCAAGGGTTCGACGACTCTTCTGAAGAAGAGGAGGACTGGGATGCTCGTGCTCCTCAACCCAGTCAGATCAATACCTTGTTGACATCTTCCCCTTACAGAACGAGCCCCCCTCCCCCTCCACCTCCGCGTATTTCTAGCTCCCAGGGCCACTATGCGCAAGAAGTTGAAGACTCATCTGAGGACGACGGCGACATCTTCCACGCGCAATCTCCAGCACGGCTAAATCCTCTCTCATCATCGCAGCATAGGGCAACCCCGCCACCTCCTCCACCGCCGCGCGCGCCAAGTTCACAGGGTCACTACGCCCAGCAACAATTAGAGGACTCATCGGAAGAGGAACAGGCCGACTGGGATGACGCCTTCGAGCCCGCGCAGCCCAGCACATTCCCGGCCTCGCAGTTTGGATCTACTCCCCCTCGTCCACCTCCGATTCCACCACCCGGTGCCCCCAGTTCCCTGTCACAGAGCCGCTACAACGTTGAAGACTCAGACGAAGAAGATCAAGGTGTCTTGCCCTCTGCCGCTACCCAGTCCAATCTTCTTCCCAGTGCGCTGTCACCGTCTGGTTATCGGGCGACTCCGCCGCCACCACCGCCGCCGCGTGCTCCCAGCTCTCAAGGCTTCTATCATCAAGAGCAAGCGGACTCAAGTGAGGACGAACACCCTTTCAGCCACGACATTGCTCGACCTGGTCAGTTCCCCATTTCATCATCATCTCAGTTCAGGGCTACACCGCCCCCACCCCCGCCTCCGCGGGTAGCAAGCTCGCAGGGTCAATACCGCCAGGAGATTGAGGAGGATTCCAGTGACGAACAGGACGAGGATGCCTGGGATTCGAATGCCGCTCGGCCCGGTCAGATACCAAATCTATCGACGTCGCAGTTCAAGGCGACCCCGCCGCCGCCTCCGCCTCCGCGCACGTCCAGCGCACTGGGTCGTTACCGTCAAGAACTCGAGGACTCCGACAGCGAGGAAAATGAGGAGGCATGGGAAGCTAATCGATATGGCCAGACAACGAGCATGATGGGAGCAAGCAACCTGATGGGGACCAACCAGATGGGAGTCGACTCGATGAGATCAGCAAGCCCGCTGGGAGCGAGTCCGATGAGAGCCGCCAGCCCACTGCAATCGACAAGCCCGTTGGCGACCAACCCGATGAGGGCGTCCAGTCCCCTGGCATCGACAAGTCCAATAAGGTCAGCCAGCCCGGTGGCACAGAGCAACCCGATGGAGTCAGCATTCAGGGACTCGGTACCGGCAACAAGCAGTCAGGGCCTACCAAGTCATCAAAGAGAAGAAGGCGGGGAAGAAAGCGATGATTCATGGGAGAATATTGGGAAGCGCGGCGGTGATGAGATTAGTCCAGTCGACGAGAGGTTCAGCACCGCCATGCCAACACCACAGCTGCGCATCGATAGTTACGAACAGCAGTGGCCGAACGCGAGCAACGATCAGATTTCCACGGCGTCAACATACCTCCAGCCAGCAGGACCAGGTGACTTTACGGATTCTGATTCACAAGAGTACGCTACTCCGTTGGCATCGGCCGGGTTCAGCGCGTCTTCGCAGTATACGCAAGGAGCCATGGGCTCGCCCCGTCACCCGGATTCAACCGGCAATAAGGACATCTACGATCAGACATACAATCGAGGAGGAGCAATGTCTCCGTATGGTCAAACTCACGAGACTTCACTCGCCGACGAGCTCGCCCAAGAAGACGACTCGGACGATGACAGCGAGTATGAACACTCGGAAGCCCCGGCCTTCCTCACCCAGATCGGCACTGCACAACAACTGCAGCAGCAGCAGCAGCAAACGTCAAACGAACCTGTGTTGACGCAAGTCATCGACTCCTTCGACAGCGATGAAGATGATGGCCCAAGGACTGCAGTCATGCAGCCGGCTGAGCACCCCACACAATATGCCTCTTCCCGTTTCGGAGCTTCGACTTGGCGGGATGAGCTTCGTTCGCCTACCATGTTCGGTGCTACCAGGCACAGCCGCTCTGGGTCTTTGTTGAGGGAGGAGGTGCAGAAATCAGTCCACCAAGAAGCCACTGCTGGCTACTCATCTCCTCTGCGGTCCGCTTACGAGCCTGATACCCAGGTAGAAGGTTCTTATGGCGGGCAGCAAGCTCAGATGCATGGCCAGGACGTCTATGGACAACAGTCAGCCGAGTATCACGCGCAAGACGCCCTTGCCCAGCAGCAATATGGTCAAGCTCAGTTTGATCATGACCAATTCGAGACCCAGCCCTACGGACAAGCACAACTCCAGCCACAATACGGACAAGCGACTTCGTGGCAGCCCGGGGTCCAGGTCCCTGAGATACAGGCGGAAGAGGAGCATGAGCAGACAACTCCGCAGTTGGCACCACAGCAAAGTGAGCAAGCACCGGACATCAGCCCCTTAGCGTTGCGTCAGGAAGAGTCCCCGGCGACGCCCTCGTCGTCGCAGGGGACACCCTCTCGTGGACTCGCGTTCAGCAGGCACAATCCTGACCGGCCGCAGACTCCGCCTACAATGCAAGCCGAAGGGGATTTTGATCCCGAGCTCATGGTCCCGCGCGATGTGACCAACGTCCCCTGGCACGCGCGCAACGACTCGGTCCCTCACTCGATGCGAAGCCAGAGCACCCTCGACTCTGTTGCGTCGTCCCCGATTCATTCGGCGTTGCACGCTGACAAGCACGAGCCGGTGATTCGGGACTCGTGGCCTGCCTCCGTTCATCACTTGACCAGGCCGCGCAACGACTCTTCACTCACCGACCGTGAGGAATATGATCCATTCAGAGATAGCGAGGAGGCGGCAAAGGCAGCTCGCGGACCGTCGGGTTCCGTGGGCTCCAGTTCAGACAGCCCTCCGCGGAACGCGGCGACCACGAACAACAACTCACCTGGAAGCCTCATCAGCAGAATGCGAGGCATCTTTGAGAACAACCAAGCTAAGCAAGAGCCGGCCAGTCCGGTCCGATCGCGACCGGTGTCGGGTGTTTTTCACCCCGTCCGGCGCAGCAAGCCCGGCGGCGGCGATGACTTTGAGGACCGCGGATACGAGCGCAAAGCAGGGTTTCTCAACGAAGCCGAAGACGAGGTTGACGAGCAGAGCGCACTCCTACGAAGCTCTGCTGGCGGGTTGGAGGCAAATTGACCACGCTCGGGCGGAGCGAGGCTCAGAGTCGTGAGGGTGAAGCGGGACGCCGAGTACGATGAGTGGGGAGAGGACATGGACAGAGATGAGCCGGGGAACCGGCATCGTCCGAAGCGCCGCAAGTATCGCAGAGACCCGAGCGGCTTGCGAGTGCCGGTCCCCTGGAACTCGGAAGAGAAGGAAAGCGGCGGTGGCTCCGTGGAGCCCTCTGGCGAGAGCGTGTTTCGTCTGGCGTGGTTGTTTGTCGAGGGGTGGAGGCAGAAGCTCCGGAAGGCCGGGGATATGGTTGAGAAGACACGGTGGGAGTGGGAGCTTGACGGGACTGCTACTGTCTGTACGCATAGTCGCGCGTCGAGCTTGACGTTTGGTATGGTGATTGCGGACGCTCGTTTACGCGTGCCGGAGGAGTTGGGCAATGAGAAGAAGCAGAGAAAGTCGGTGCATTGGGCGTAGGACACACACACACACACACACACACACACACACACACACACACACACATACACACGATGGGAACATGATGTTACGACTAATGGGTTACGGATATGGTTACGGATATGGTTATGGATATGGTTATGGATACGGTTATGGACATGGCTTACGGGTATAGAGGATAATGAAATAATGATTTGACGTTCTGGAACATTTCAATATCACTATGCACGACAATGGCGACTTCATGTTCTCTTTGTGACTGTGCAACTCAACTTGACTTCTCTAGAAAACGCGTTGGCACTAAGAGCGTGAGCGTGAGAACGCGTCAAGGATGAATGCTCTAACCGTTCCCGTCAAAATCTTTGCCAAGGTCGCAACCGGCAGTTCAAAGTTGTCCTCGGACAATCTTAAATCCCCGCATTCTGCATGGCCAAATCGACAACGAGGGAGCGCATGAACACTGTGTGTATTGTGAGACTGAACGAACACAAAGTGGACAGCTCCGTCAACCCCGATTCTTCTCACATGCTACCTGCAATATTACCTAAGCCACATCCTCGGTCGACCGACTAGCACAAGCATATTTGTTCACTTACAGATGTTGAGCTGCTGTTGACCTCCCACCCATCAACAAGCTCGCATTCGTCCCCCCACAGATGCTTACTACCTTGCACAGTAGACAAGTGACTGGTCCCATTGGAAATAGGGACAAACCTAACCTTTATGAATTAGCATGCGTGAAGGCCAAAGGGCAAAGGACTTTCTCACCTGATGATAACGATAACCATTCTCACTTTAACTCCACCGAAGGCCGCAAGCAAGGTACACAACATGTCTCTACAGCACAATGACTCTTCTGTCGTGGCCGCCACTACGGGTTCCTCCCCTCCTTCTGTAGCAGCAGTGCGAACCTTCAAGCGTGCCGCCGTAGCGTGCAAGGCTTGTAACCTGCGCAAGGTGAGATGCACAGTCACCTTATCTGGCCCTCCCTGCGCCAATTGCTCAGTGGATGGAGTTACATGCGAGGTCCTGAGTCGTAAACGACGTCGGTGAGTTTTCTTTGTCGCCGCCCTCTATGGTTTGCGGTTCTATAGGTTATGCTAGTGAGCTATCCTGACGAAGCAGCAACTCGGATCAACTCCCCATGAACCCATCCCCCGGAGGAGGTGGGGAGAACACGTTGATCATCATCCCGCAAAGGGCACAACCCAGAAGACGGCTCGTGGAACCCCAGACCCCGGGGCCATCTTCGGGTACTCTAGAGAATGAGGAGGCCGTCGAGTCGAGGGACGACCGGGTCACATCCGCGCCGCCCGAAGATCACCGGCGCACCACACCCCAGGTCAACGGCGGCCCGAGGTCGTCAACGTCCCCACGCGCAGCCGAGACACGATCGGTCGGTGGCAGGCCATCCGCGCCAACCACTCGGCCTTACGACGCCGTGCGGGCTCTGCTTCCTACCAAGGGTCATCGGCCTCCGGATCCATCCGATGCCACTGAGGACAGCTCCGCGTATGCAGAGACGTTGGAGGGTGGTAAGAGTCGCGAGGATGGATGTGTCCCGTTCTACCCAGGTAAGATTTCCTCTGTTTCGGAACCATGATGCATAAAGCATTGCTTCGAGATGAGTTTCTCTTGACACTCATTCTATCTAGGAGATCAACGTGGCCCTGCCTTCTTGATCGACATCTGTGAACCTAATAGGTCATCCAAAGACAACCATTTCCTAGTGCCGATGCCATCCATTAAGGCCCTTTCGCCCGAAGATGTCAATTATCTCAGGATGAAAGGCGCTTTCACGCTTCCTCCGCCCCATGTTCGCGAGGCGATGATCCGATGCTACTTTCACTATGTACACCCATTTGCACCAATCCTGGATGCCAGCGAGTTCATCACCGAGTATGAGAAGGGAAGGAAAAGTCTATTGCTGCTCTGGAGCATGTTCATCGCGGCCGCGAGCGTAGGTCAACGACACAAATAATCTATCATTCGTTGCTAGACGTCGCTGACATTTACCACAGTTTGTTGACGACAGTCTCTTGACGGAAGATTTCTTCCCTTCGCGAAGGTCTCTGAAACGAGCCATGTATCAGAGAGCTAAAGTCGGCTCCCCTTCCAGTGTTTTGTCACCACAAACAAGAGCTAATCGTGTTGCAGGCTCTATACGATGCAGATTATGAAAAGGACAAGGTGACACTCATCCAGTCAGTCTTCCTGATGGGTCACTGGTACACCAGCACAGACGACAGAGCCGGGCCCTGGCACTGGAACGGCATCGCCATCAGCCTCTCCCACACGATTGGTCTTCACCGCCTGCACATGCCCGCGAACCAACAGGCATCGCAAGGGACTAAACCGTTCTGGAGACGTCTCTGGTGGTCTCTATACTCGCGAGAGGTGTGGCTTTCTCTGGGACTCGGCAGGCCGATGCGGATAGCCCTCGATGACTTTGATACGTCTATGCCGGCCGCCGGCGATGCTGACGTCCTGGCACCCGAGGTCAAGGGTCAACTTGGTCGGAAGTATCTTCCTGAAGAGATGCAGTTCCTCTTTGAAACCTGGCTGGCGTTTATCGGGTTGAGTGTCGCCCTTAGTAATGTTCTTGCAACGAATTATCGCGCCAAAGGGGTCAAGCCGTCGAGGATGGAGATTGAGCAAAGCGAAAACCAGATTAGAAGTTTCCAGTACAGAGTGCCTGAAGCCGGAAATCACAGTCGAGTTGTCGCATCTCATATCTACCAGTTCAAGCTATACTTTGAGTAAGTGCACACTGAACTGAGCCTCGAGATCAAACGAGGGTAAAGATCTAACACAAGTCAGAACCTCAATAATTGTTCTCTATCGGCCCTTCATACTTGATACTCCAAGAGAGATCCCGGCAGCAGACCAGGGAAGCTGGAGGACTTTTGCCTGCCAAAAGACGAGGACGGCCGCGTCCAACGCAAGCGCAGCGATGAACTCCATGATGGCAGAAGACCTCATCAGACTCTGCCACACCATCACGTACGAACCCCAACCTTTGCAATGATGTAAGCCAAATCCGACTCTCGGGTTCACTAACCAGCTGCTCAGAGTCATCGCCCTCGTCCCACCAATGCAAATTCACCTCTTCGAATCAACTTCATCAAAACAAATGGCACGCCAGATGGGCAGACACAATCTTGCCCTCTGCATGGTCGCCATGGACGAGATGCGCAAGTCCTACATCTCGGCGGATGCGTCGTATAAGCTCTTCGAGACGGCGATGAACAAGGTAGATAACGCGCCGCCCCACCAGCAGCATCAGCCGTCTCCAGCTGCTGCTGCCTTGACGCCAGATACGAGCGCGTTCGCGAGCTGGCCTGATGGGTATGGGCTGGGCACCGCGGGCATCATATCGGATATGTGGAGTCCACTGCCGAATGCATACGCTGACAATGCTTCGATATCGGGAACCCAGTGAGTCTTTTGGTTTTTGTTCTTGCTTGAAAACTCTACATGGTCTGATACTTTCGCAGTACCGATTCTTGGCTGGATATCCAGACTATGGATAGATTATGGACGCTTGACGACTTCAGTCTGCCATGATTCAGTTCCGTCCCTCATTACAAGAGAGATTCTTACAATGTCATCCGTGAACATGAGCCGAAGTTGCATCATATCCACGACGAATGGCACATTGCAGCATCAACTCAGCCTCTCGGGCCAAGAGCTTCTCGAACAGACCGAAACTTAGAATCAGCTTCGTACGCCCTGGCTTGGCCCTCTCATCCCGCCGGGCCAACGTCACCCAAGGCACTCGAAACGCACGACCGGCTTTCGGTCAGATTCCACGGATTCTTTTATCGAAGGACCGATAAGCTCCCGGGCTGTGGGGCGAGAATTGTTGAGGTGTCCGTAGGAAATCCGTGTCCCCGGGTAACGCGTCCGCCCCCCGAGCGGCGAGTCGCGATGAAATGTGCCCCACATCTTGCCGAGCCGAGGTACCTCGGTACTTGGGCCGCTTTGGTAGAAGCACATGCAAGACGGCTCTCAACAATCTTGCGTGCCTTAACTACGGAGATGAGAGATAGCACATATTGCGTGCTGGTATTAGTTCTCAACGCTCACAGTTACCTGCCGAAAGAGTTGGCTAGAATACAGCGATAGTAAAATGAGACCAAGTATTGTATAACAATCATTAATGAAGTCCGACCTTGACTCAAGGGGTTCATGTAGGATTTAATGGCTGTGCCCTGATCGCATTGCGCGTTGCCATGTTATCATGGCTGCTATGAAGACGCCTGAACGAATCATACCTATAGATAGATAGCGTATCATATCATAGGTCTTCAAAGTCTCTTAGACCGCGGGGCAAGCTGCAAACTGCCAAATCGGGATTTCCGAATGAAATTGCGAGCGTATCCCATTACATGCTAAACTACATAGAAGCTACAACCTTCTAATCTGTGCTTGTAGAAAGTTGAACTAGGTCAGCATGCTATGTGTCAAATCTTTGACTTCAACATCTTCGATTCCCACCAAGGATAGAACGGGAAAGCGCTCCTATCAAATCCCCCAGAAAACTCTGCTTTTCTCTTCTCCATGAAACTTGTCAGCCCTTCCACGTTGTCCTTGGACCCGAATGATGTGATAAAGACCTTGGAGTCCAAATCATGAGTTTCCTCCGGCGTCTCAGGGCAATACAGCATCATGTCCCTCATCAATTTGGTACTCATGATGGAGGTATTCTCCGCAATATCGGTAGCAAGCTCGATAGCATACCTCACAGTTTCCTCAGGGGTAGGGAGCAGTTTGGAAAATAGCCCGCTGACGAGGGGGTCGGAGGCCGTATAAGTGCTTCCCGTTGTGACTATGTGGTTTGCCTTGGAGAGACCGATAAGTTTGGAGAGGTAAAAGGCGCTGACGGACTCCATCGTCAATCCACGTCGTGCAAAAGGCATGTTTATCTTGGCGCCCTTCCAGGCAACTCGGATCGCGGCGGATAAGATGGACGTGGCTCCGAACCCTGCCGCGCCTCCATTTACGGCGACGATGGTTGGCTTTGTGCATCTGGAAATGGCCAGAGCTACACGTCCACCACTATCATGAGATTGTTAATTGACATCTTGAGTCGAAGGTTGCGGGAGACTCACGGGTCTTTCCACTTCATCGCATCTGGACTCTGTTTGATCTTCATTAACCCCGCGGGGCCCTCTGAAAGGTCCATTCATGAACAGAAGGATTTGCCGGCGCCGGTCAGGACGACCGCTCTGACGCGTTCATCCCCGTCAATCATGTTGAACACAGAGACTAACTCCTCGAGGATGTTTCCGTTGACGGCATTGTGTCTCTCCGGGCGGTTTAGAGTCACGACCATGACTTTGGTGACGGACGGAGCATCGTGGGGTACGTGGCTGATGATGATGTCTTTGTAGTTCAGGGACGAGTATAAGTCCGGAACCTGAGGAAGAGTTGTTTTAGACATTCTGAGATGAAACGTCGTTGCTATTTCAGTGATTCGAAAGGCTCAAAATTGAATTTTGCTATACGAAGGATCTTTTCCGATATCGACAATAACTTCGTGCCTTAATACTCCAGCAACACGGAAGCATGGCCACTAATATAACAAACACACAAGCTTTGTGTAGCCGGCACGATCTATATCCAAAATCAGGACGTGGCACTGGAATGCCTCGGTACATGCAGGTAACGAGAATGTTGTTAAGAAAGATTCAGATTCAGTTCCTCCTGTGCTCCATCTGGGCCAGTCTGCAGGCATGTGGCTGTTTTAAAACTGTATTCATTCGTAATGCGCCTTCATTTGACGCAATAAATGCTGAAAGATCAATGTCACTCTACTGACAATCTAGCTGAGCCAAGTTGAACTTACCAGTCGGGCCACTCCGTCTGATGCAAGTCAATCCGGGGCTCAAAGGCCCACATTCAGCCGAGGGCCGTTTGTCTCTTACCTCGAACGAGGCATCTCTCCGTCACAATAACATTCTGAAAAAGCTAAAAATCTTCAATCTGCAATGCGTAATTGACATCTATCTTGAGGCCGTGACTCGCTCTTGCTGTGCCTCGAGCCTCTCAGGCGGGGAGCTCGGTTACGCCGCTGTTCTGGTTATGGGTGGACGAAGCCCCCAACAACTAGCTTGAGGATATCCCAATAAACGTGGGCCATTGAAAAATCTCTGATAATAGTGAAGAGATGGAGATGCCCAAGATGGAGATGTCCAAGACGGATTCTCACATCGAGATTATTCAACTAACTTCTTCCAACGATGCGAGGGCGGACGATTGGACTTTGCTGCTAATCGAAATGAACAATACTTGAAACCCACTCGAACAAAGAAATATATCGAAGAAAATATCTCCTCAAGTACCTGCAACTCAGTCAGGTCTAGTTGTAGGCTATGGCGGCTCTTTGGGACCATTTGTTCTCTTACGGACAAATGGCCTTCTCGGTTCTCAGTGTCAAATCAGTTTTGGTAGGATTCGCCCTCGCTAACATCAAAAACTGGCACTTTATGTAGACCGAAAGTGCAAACTTTAGCTATTTCTAACCGGGATTTTACCATAGTTCTTGCAACTAAAACCCACCTCGCAGATCCGATTCCTACGCGCCTTCATCCGACGTCTTATAGACACCGCGCCTCCAAAGCACCTAAGTCCACGATGCCTCTTCCTCCCAGCCATCTCCGCGACGCGATCGCCGCTGCTGGAGTGTGACTACAACATGCACAAGTCTAAGTCGACCTACTTCACGGACCTCGACATGTCACGCGGCAACATTAGCCTAGTGCTCTTTCGGGAACCCATCAACCCGTTCTCGGGACCCAAACAATTCATCATGATCCTCGGCGGCGCGCAGTGCGTCTGGCGCAAGGAGATTGCGCGCTACGAAAAGTACGAACTGTGGACGAGGGTGTTGTCATGGGATGAGAAGTGGATATATCTCGTGACGCACTTTGTCAAAGCAGATGTATTTGTGCCGGGGGAGTACGCGATGCAACCGACCCGAGGGCAAAGAAGAACAAGAGACGTGGGATTGAAAATAAAGACCCTCAGAAGGCTGTCTTTGCTTCGTCAATTGCTAGATACGTTTTCAAGAATGGCAGGAGGACAGTGCCTCCGGAGCAGGTCTTGTCTACGTGTGGCTTGCTGCCGGACGACAAAGCCGGTTCGGCCGAAGTGGAACGGCTTAGAATGAAATGACTGCCCGTAGCCCAGCCCAAATCCGGCTGGGATTTGGTGCATGGTCTCTTCGAGCCTGGCGAGCTCGCTCTCGGCAGATACACCGACCTCTGGTGGCGATGAGGCAGATTTTCTGAGCTTCGCAGTCAGATTAATAGTTTTAAACTTCATGGAAGCCTTAATTTCATTTGGGCGGGAAAATGATTGCCTGCGAAAGCTCACTCTAGAGTTGCAATTGCGAACTCTCACGGATACATCCATAGTTTGGGTTGTGGCTAATTGTCGATCGAGGAGTTTAATTCATGCAAAGTTTGCCCTATGAACGAACGTCTTAATAGCTCATGCATAACCCCTCAAAAGTGCGAGAAAGCTTCAACTTTCAATTTACAGGATACAAATCACATTTTCAGCCGTATTGTCGCACTTGAAATACAAGAAGTTGGATTGGTCCAACCGTGATCTAACCAATTCGCCTGGTAATAAGATACTCAACGTCCAAAACTCCCTCTCTCAGTCCCGCAGGAGTTGGGAGCTTGGGTCCAAAGGCCGGCGGTGAATTTCTGCTTACATCCCACTTCCTGGCTGCATGGAACTAGCTTCGCGTACGTGTCAGCGCACCGGATCCTTTCCTGATCTGCGCCGCTGCAGTCCTAAACTCTCGTGCTCCAAGTTCGTACACTGACACGCCAAGAAGGCGTCTCCCTGCGTCATGGTGTCTCTGTTCCCCGCAAACAGGCAAGCGAGAACGAACGTACGAGAGGGATTTCAAGGTTGCGCGGGGTTACGTTGGCAGTTGTGGAATTGACGATGAGTCGCTAACGGACGAGCACTTCTCTAGTGTTCCGTACAACGGGCGGCCGCTTTCAACGGAGACCTCACTGGACTCCGAGAGGACTCCATCATCAACGGCAGGCGCACGGCATCATGGTCGCCGGACGAGTCCGTTGTATATCTTGATCCGGAGCGGGAGGGCAAAGAAACATCGGTTTGGCCGACGGAGCGGGATGGGGCAACTCGACGGCCGGCAGCTGAGCCATGAAAATTGGCCGCAATGACGGCGGCAGCTGTCCATCGCTGCGCCGTAGATGCACGCAGGCGACGGATCTCGGGACTAACCCCCCCTGGCGGCCTTAGTTTTGGGATCCAACGGGTTGGGAGGCCTGGGTGGCGCCGTGGTAGCACACGGGTGGGTGCCGGTGGGCGGGCATGTTGGTTTCTGATCAGATTCGCACTGGGAATGGTCTCATGAGTCGGCCTCTTCGGCACTGATTCTATGAGATTCATCTAATCATCAAACGAAGTGCCTTCGCGTTATTAGACAGCAGAGTATTATGGACCAAGATCGCGGGATGAGGATGCCAAATCCGACTCATTGCATGGGGGAAACGGGAGTGAGAAGAACCCCTGGCTTCACCGCCCACCAACCAATGCAACACTCCAAGAGTCCATAGAGCCCCCCCGACTCGTTGGCCAAGTGTCACTGCTTACTTTGCTGGCATTCCATAGGGCAGAGAACGCTTAAAGCAAGTCGGCGCGGAATTGGACTGGCGCCGAATGCCATGTTTCACTAGAGACGGGGACGGACGGGATGGCCGAGCTGGGCTACGAAGCTGGCTCGAATCCGCACGATTGCGTTCATCTCGACCATTGAGATGACCGGGATTGGCCCACCTGTCGCTCAACTCGTCGTGAGGGAAAAAAGTGGGAAAATGGGAAATCTTTTTTCGGCCATGATATCAGCGTTTATCCTCGTGCTCCACGCATGATGATGGGACCGAGGCATAACGCTTGACAAGCTCGAGAGATTAGCCACATACATGAATTGGAGGGGCTCAGGCGATTCTCGAATTTGAATATTATCAGGCCGATATCCCCTCCTGTTGCTGGATTTTGTCTCACCACATAGAAGCATTCAAATCTCTCAGTTAGCTGACTGACCAACAACGCTCGAGGACCAAGATCATACCCTCGACACATACAATACACGCATACGAATAGACAAACACACACACACACACACTCAACATGTCGGAAACAGTACCGATCCCAGAGCCCGGCGGACTGCCGTTTCTCGGCAACCTCAACGAGATCGATTCTGAATTCCCCTTGGGATCCATGATGTCTCTTGCGGACCAGTATGGTGAGAGATGACCCCCCTGACTCATGCGAGCCAGACCCTCTTATCTTATCCATGACAAGCAGCTGACAGTGACATGCGCCCCTGAAGGTGAGATTTACCGATTGAGATTCCCAGGTCGTTCAATTGTCCTGGTCTCGACACAGCAGCTCGTGAATGAAACTTGCGATGAGAAGCGGTTCAAGAAGTCCGTAAACTCAGCATTAAATGTGAGTTTATCAAGCTGAAATGCGCTCATTTAATTAGCCTATACATTCATGCGTGTACATGGAAGCCATACTCATACCTGAATAGCAAGTCAGAGCAGGCGTCCACGATGGACTCTTCACAGCGAAAATGGGCGAGGAGAACTGGGGCATCGCTCACCGCGTTCTCATGCCCGCCTTCGGTCCCCTTTCGATCCGCGGCATGTACGATGAGATGCACGACATCGCTACCCAGCTGGCATTGAAATGGGCGCGATACGGCCCCGAATCGGCGATCATGGTGACGGACGATTTCACGCGACTGACGCTCGACACATTGGCCCTGTGCTCAATGGGATACCGATTCAACAGCTACTACTCACCCGTTCTTCATCCCTTTATTGAGGCCATGGGCGACTTTTTGACCGAGGCTGGTAACAAATCGCGTCGTCTCCCGCTCCCTGCCATGTTCTACAGCGCAAAGGACCAGAAGTTCCAGCAGGACATTGACACCCTCAGAACCACAGCCAGAGAAGTTCTCGAGTCAAGAAAGGAAGGGAAGAGCGATCGCCGAGATTTGCTCACGGCCATGCTCGAGGGAGTCGACCCGAAGACCGGGAAGAAGATGACGGACGAGAGTATCATGGATAACTTGATCACATTCCTCATCGCCGGTCACGAAACGACGTCAGGACTCTTGTCATTCGCTTTCTACCAGCTGCTGAAGCACCCCGAGGCCTACCGCAAGGCCCAGCAGGAGGTCGACGATGTTGTTGGAAAGGGACAGATCAAGGTCGACCACATGTCCAAGCTGCCCTACATCAACGGTGTTCTCCGCGAGACCCTGCGTGTCAACGCCACGATCCCCGTCTTCTCAGTTGAGGCCTTTGAAGATACCGTGCTTGGTGGCAAGTACCCCGTGGCCGCAGGCGAGACCATCGTCAACCTCCTTGCCAAATCCCAGCTCGATCCCCTAGTCTTTGGCGAGGACGCCAACGAATTCAAGCCCGAGCGCATGATGGACGAGAACTTTAACCGCATCACTAAGGAGTTCCCCAACTGCTGGAAGCCGTTCGGCAACGGCATGAGAGGATGCATCGGTCGCCCTTTTGCCTGGCAAGAGGCCCTTTTGGTCATGGTCATGCTTCTTCAAAACTTCAACTTTGTGCTGGACCCCAACTACCACTTTGGCGTCAAGCAGACCCTCACCATCAAGCCCAAGGACATGCACATGCGCGCCATCCTTCGCGACAATCTCACCCCGACGACTCTGGAGCGCCGTCTGGCCGGTCTGGCCGAGCCCGAGAAGCCCGCCGAGCAGGCCAAGGCCAACGGAGCTGCCGCCGGAGGCGAGACTGGAATGCCTCTGACGATCCTTTACGGATCCAACAGCGGAACCTGCGAGGCTTTGGCGCAGCGTGTTGCCTCCGATGCCGCATCCCACGGTTTCCGCGCCACCAAGATCGACTGCCTGGACAGCGCCAATGGTAGCCTTCCTACTGATCAGCCCGTCGTCATCATCACGGCGTCGTACGAGGGCCAGCCTCCCGACAATGCTGGCCACTTCGTGGCCTGGATCGAGGGACAGGACAAGGCCAAGTCCCCCCTCAAGGACGTCTCCTACGCCGTCTTTGGTTGCGGCCACAAGGATTGGGTCCAGACTTTCCACCGTGTTCCCAAGCTGGTCGACACCACCCTCGAGCAGCTCGGTGCAACTCGCCTGGCCGAAGTTGGTCTGACGGATGTATCTAGCGGCGAGGTCTTCACCAACTTCGAGTCATGGGAGGATGACACGCTCTGGCCCTCATTGACCAACAAGTACAAGACAACCTCCTCTGCCGAGGACAATAAGACCAAGGGTCTGGGTGTTGTCATCAGCAACCCCAGAACCTCGACTCTGCGCCAGGACGTCAAGGAGGCTACCGTCACCAAGACCGCGACGCTCACCAAGGGCAGCGACCCCAAGAGCATCAAGAAGCACGTCGAGATCAAGCTCCCCGAGGACATGACCTACACTGCTGGCGACTACCTTGCCGTTCTGCCCATCAACCCCAAGGAGACTGTCTACCGCGCAATGCGTCGTTTCCATATCGCCCGTGATGCTCATCTTAGCATCAAAACCGACGGACCTACGTCGCTTCCGGTCGATACCTCCGTGCCCGCCAACGACCTCTTGAGCTCTTACATTGAGCTTTCGCAGCCTGCTACGAGAAGAGTAAGAAGCAATTTTTCTACTTACCTTGACCATCGATACTAATATTCTTACAGAACATCCTTGCTCTCGCAGAGCACGCAAGTGACGAGAAGACCAAGGCTGAGCTGAACCGCCTCTCAGGCGATGCCTATGCAGATGAGATCAGCGGCAAGCGCGCATCCGTCCTCGACCTCCTCGAACGCCACCCCTCGATCGACCTGCCCATCGGCGTCTTCCTATCCATGATGCCCCCGATGCGCGTCAGACAGTACTCCATCTCTTCCTCCCCGATGGCGTACCCCAACAACGTCACCCTGACTTTCTCCGTCCTCAATGAGCCATCCCTCTCAGGCCAGGGCCCCTACATCGGCGTCGCCTCCTCCTACCTCGACTCCCTCGCTGAGGGCGATAGCCTCCACGTCGCCATCCGCCCCTCTCACGCCGCCTTCAGCCTCCCCACCGATGCCGAGAACACGCCCATGGTCTGCGTCGCCG